GGGGACGGTGAGGGATCCCCAACGACAAAACCCCAGTCCCAGCACCCACCCCTGCACAGGCTCTCACAGGAAATTGGGTATCAACGTGGCACCATGGCCAGATGCGGGGAGACCACAGCATGTTCCACCCTGGAGTATATGTGCACCAGAGCCAGGGTGTTTTGGAGGGAGCTGCGGAGAGGTGTCTGGGTCCTCCCTGTGTCCCCTTGCTGGGCAGAGGGAGGTGGGATGGGGTGCTCCCCCCCGGGTGCCCCCACTTTGGGGGGATGCTCTGAGCTGGGATGCAGCATCTCCTCAGCCCGCTGGTGCCCTCGTGAGGTTTTGGCCCCACAGCACAACCCGGCCCGTGGTCCCGCTGCCAGCCACATCCCAGGGTGGTTTTGGGGGGCTGGGGATGCCCTCCACTCCACCGTCCACAAGCAAGAAGCAAACCCGTTACCCTGCCAAACTCATCCCCAAATATCCACCCCATCCCCAAATTGCTGCAGGGCTGCAGCTGGGACAGAGCCATCTCCCTAAAAAACACCACCCCCCCATTTTAGCCTGAGCCACCCCCCAGGCGTTCTGCCCCGTACCTCCTTGGGCGAGAGGATGGAGATGTAGTCCTCATAGATCATCCTGGCCTTCTCGTCGATGGTGTGCTTGTTGCACTCGTTTTTGAGCTCCTCGCATGCTAGCCAGAAGAGCATGTTCTCCTCGCTGTACTCAGTCCGCAAGAACTCCCGAAAGACATTGCGACCCGCCGGGCTCTTCATCAGCTTGTCGAAGGACTGTGCCCAGCCCCGCACCTCCTCCGGAGTGGGTTTGGCGCTGCCAGATCCCGGTGGGGAAGGCAAAGGGACAGCGTTATGGTCAGCCCCAGGAGGGCTGCGGGTTCCCCGCTGCGTCGTCCCTCCCCGAGCGGCTCAGCCGTGCTCATCCCTGGTCCCATCCCAGAAGGACTGTGCCCGAACGCATCCCCGGTGCTCATGCCGAGGCCATTCCTGCTCAGGCTCCGGTTATTACGGAGGCTTTGGGAGATCACTCACGGCATCTGTCCTGGCTCTGCTTGGCCGGGATGGAGCGTGGGTTTGGTTCCAGCTGAATTTCCCAAACTGAGGCGTATTTTGGTGCTGGCTTTGGACAAACCCAAAAGGGAGCAAAAGCCCTTCCCTTGCAGAGCAGGGGAGAGACTGGCCTTGGTTCATCATCCCCGACAGCTGGGGGAGGCAGGGAAGCTGCTCCCCAGCAAATAGCCATTACCTGCAAATAGCCACCACCTGCTAAAGCAGGGCAGGAGCAATCATTATCAGCGGCTAATTAGCATGTCTGACCCCCTAATGCTGCTGTGCCAGGCACTCCAAAGAGCACCCACAGCTGGGCTGGGGGGGGGTCATACCCGTCCCCCAGGGAGTGGGTGCTCGGTGCAGGGCATCCCCAGAGCAGGGTGCTTGCAGGATGAGGGTCTGCCCTTGGGACACAGCCTGAAAGCTGCTGAGGTCCTTGCGTGCCTCAGTTTCCCTTTGCAAAGGGCCCGAGGGCCAGAATTGCAGAGTGCTGCAGCCCGTGGCTCCGGGCTCTCTGTTTCTCGGTGGGAACCAGGGACATGCTGCTGGAAGCGGCACCGGGAACCCCCAAGTCCTGGTGCCCCATTCCCACTCCCCGTGTGTGCATCAGCAGGCAGGATGCGGGGCTGGGTGCCAGGAGGGTGGCAGTGCGGACCGTGACGTGCTGTGCTGTGCAATGCCGCCCCCCCCCACCTCCCCCCCCTCCCCCGGCACTGCCCCTGTGCTCACCATGCTTCACAGTTTGGGATGGTCTCCAGTTTGGTCTCCCGGGACGCCCTCCATGCTCGCTCCCGGTCCTCGTTCCTAACGGGGAGATAGAAAGGTAGTCAGGGGCGTTGGGGATGCACCCAGACCCCCACCTTGACCCCCCCAACTGGCCCTGGCCACCAAATCTCCTCCGTGAGCACCAGCATCCCCCCCTGTCCCTGCCAAGATCCTCCCCAGCACCCTGCCTGCCCCAGCACCCGCTGTGCCGGCAGCACCCCGGCTCCCTTGTGCAATTTTTGCCATCATCGTGCAAGGGGGTTTCCTGCGCTCTGGCACTGCCGTGGCCCTGGACCCACTCCACCGGGACATGTGCCAGGACCAAGCTGGAGCCGGAGCGGCCGCGGGGCCAGGTGGCAGTAGCCGGCAGAGGTCAGTGCCGGCTCGGCCCACGGCAAAGCCGTTGCGAACCGCCACAAATAAACACCAATAAATAAATAAATGGGGGTGGCTGTGGGGCCCACGGCTGCAGCCGTCGGGGCTCAGCGCCACGGTCTGCTCAGATCCCGTGCCTGGTTATCCCGGTCTCCAGCCGGTGCTGGCCCCGGCTCACCAAGGAAGCTGGTGGCCGGGATAGATGGAGAAAAGCGAAGTGCCGGACCCTGCACCCCCCAGGAAACCCAGCACCGGTCCAGCCCAGAGGCCGAGCGTGGAATGGAGGTGCCAGGGCTCAGGGGTGCCGGCATCCCCTGTGTCCCCCCCATCCTTCACCCCCAGGGGTGCCGGTGGTGCAAGGGGAGAGCGGCCTCCAGCCAACTTCCCTCGAATTTCGGTGCCCAGCACTGACCGCAGCGCTTCCTGCTTGCAACACCATCCCTCACCGCTCGCACAAGATTAAATGTGCAAACTTCTCTCCCGGCAGCAAGGGCGGCTGGGGTGGGCGAAAGCTGCAGACACGTCCCTGCCCACGCTGGCCCCGGCGCTCGCTGCCTGGCACGCTTGAGCCCCAAAAACGGTTGGCACCGGCCACTGCTTGCTCCGGGAGCGGGATATGGGAGGGATTTCTGCCCTGTCTATGCTCATGGCCTCTTGCAGAGATGGAGGAGGGACACAGGGAAGGGTCACCCTGCCCACGACCGAATGCCACCAAGCCCTGGGCAGTGCCTGGGAGGAAGATGTTCAGGGCAGGCTAGGAGGGAAGCCGATCGCCACACTCGCTGCCTTGCAAATGCAAGAAAAAGAGACGGAATCAGGCGAGATAGGGCCCCAAGAACACAGTGGGGGTTTGCACAGGGCCGATGCATCAGTGCTGGGGATGCACCATGGGTTTGCACGGGGCTGACATGGGTGCTGGGGATATACCGTGTGTTTGCACGGGGCTCAGCTCCACGGCTTGTTGCTCCCCCAAGCTCAGCACTGTCGGTGGGTGTAAAGCCCAAAGCTGCTGCAAAGCCCGAAGCCGTCAGCAATCTCAGAAAGGGCTGACACTGAGGATGGAGAAGAGCAGACGGGCTCTCCAAAATCTGAGCTATCTGAGAATATGGAGCTGGGGATCCTCAGAGAGGATGGGAGATGCAGCTGCAGGCAAGCGGCTGCTTATGTCCTTGGCTTTGGGCAGCACTGGGAGGCCAGGACCAGACTCTGCTGCTCCAAGGCAGAGCTACCTGGGGGGGCTCCCACGGACCGGGGGGGGGTCCACCTCGGGCAGCACACTGCAGCTGCAAGAAGGCACCGTGATGCTGGGCAAGGAAACCTAGCTCTCCTCCTGACCCGACCTGCCTGAAACAGGGAGCAAAATCCTCCTGCCTGCACAGTGCTGCACCCAGGGGTCCTGCTGCCCAGCCTCGTCACCCTGCCCGGGCACGGCCAGGTGCCCTGGGAGGGTGGGCTGGGGAGGCAGAGGTTGGGCAGCTCGGCTAAGCACCACGCTGTCTGCAGCTTCCCCCGTGCAGCCAGGCTGGGGACATCCAGCCCCGGGAGAGCCGTTAGTGCAGCGGGGTTCCCGGTGCTGCTTTCTGCTCTCTATATTTTAAAAGATTTGGCCGACGGGCAGGAGTCACGGTGCAGCAAGGCGAGGCTCGGGCTCACCAGGCTCCGCGTCGGGGGGGAGAGCAACACGCCGCGGCATCGCCAATGCCCATCTGCTCCAAAACACCATTTACACCTTTTCTAACCACAGCACCCAATTCACTCTCAATTCCCAACCCAACAAAGCACACAAGCGGCCCGGAGGCTCAGCTCGGTGAGTGGGACGGGCTCCATCCCCGCCGCCCTCCCACACCCACTGCCTGCGGGCACTGCGAGCCGCACCAAAGGGCTGCAGAGCACCCAGGGGTTGGGGGCTGCTGCGGGACCCCATCCCCCTCGGGAATCCCATCTGCCTGCTCCGGCAGCAGCCGTATCCAAGCGCTTGGTGCCGCAGAAAGCACGGAGCGACCCAGCAACACGCAGGTGACTCTCGCGCCTCCCCTGCTTACGGGACCCTTGAATATCAAACGACAATATTGGGTGGGCGATGCTCGCCGCCCCACAGGACCCTCGGGCCAGGGTGCGTGGTGGGACGTACCACGAGCAACTGCAGCAGCAGCACCAGCAGAAGCAGCAGGCGTTGGGGCGGTGGTTGCTGGCGGGTTGCACCGTTGTCGGAGAAGTCTCATGCCGGGACATCGGAAGGGGTGTCTCTGCGGACGCGGGTCCTGCGTACTGAAAAGCAGGAGGGCAGGGAGCGGGTGAGCGAATGATTATCTCCCACCAAGCGCGAGCAGCCCGAGGGAAACGAGGGACCCCCGTGCAGTGACTTGCTGGGATTTAGTTTTGGCTCCCGCTTGCCATCCCGGCCACCGGCCAGCCTTGAGCTGGTCACCACCTCACCTGCGTCCCAGCCTCATACACGGTGGACGGGGTTGGGTCGTGCTTCGGTGGCTCTTCTGCTGCTCTCCGCTCCTCCCAGTCCGCGGGTGAGCCGTGCCGCCGAGACCCCCCGGCTAACGTCCCTGCCGCCTCCTGGACGGAGCCTGCGGGGAGGGAGAGGAGCGGCACCACGTTACCTTCACAGAGGGACCCCCCCCACCAGCTTCGAGCGGTTCGGCGAGGGGGCTGCTCCATGCTGGGGAATGCCCTTTTGCAGGTGGCAAGCTGGGGCATGGCAGGCAGACAGAAAAGCGTGCAAGAAAAGGAAGCGAGAAGGAAAGGAGGAGGGGAAACACGGCTGCAGACGCTCTGCCAGCCCCACGCTTTGCCCAGAACCCCCTTTCCCATGCTTTGGCAGTGCTACTGAGCCCCACAGACACCAGCAGGGCCGGGCAGGTTGTGGGGGTCAGCGCCGGCCTCGTGCACCCCCAGCTGTACCCAGTGCCGTGGGGAAGCAAAGCCGGACCCCCCCCGGCGTGTTCAGGGCCGGGATGGGGAAGTCGGAGCCGCTCCACGGCATCATGTGAGTGGAAGGAAACGGGGGGTGTGTGTGTGTGGGGGGGTAGTTTTCACAGCTCCCAGCACTAAACCAAAATTCGCCCCGTGCCAAGCGTTGGCCGAGTCTGGCGCTGTCTGCACCATTGCTGCAGAATAATCCCCCCGTGCCCTGCCTGCACCACCAGCCCAGCCCGGAGCAGGGATGCTCCTGGGCAGAAGCGGTGCTGGGTGCTGAGCACCCACCTCCATGCAGGTGGTGGTAAGGATGCGGTCACAGCTGGCTCTGCCACCCTGTGCCCCTCCGAGGGCAGTGGGCAGCAATCACAGTCCTTCTTCTGCCAGAAGGAAGGAACGGGAGAGGGGGGCAGCGGGCAGGGACAGCCCCCGGCCGCCTCGACCCCAGCATCCCTGTCTCGAGCTGCCCCAGGTCTCATCAATTCCCCAGCATGGCCATCGCCTGGCAGTGCTTCCCGTCAGCTCCTCGCCTGGGCCCTTGCAAACCCTCCCGCCGGCTCCCATCGCTCCCGCAGGAACGAAAAAGGAGAGAGTCTGTGTTTCGCTCCCAATTGTCCCTATTTATAGCTCCGAGTGCTGGCAGGACGGCTGTGACCTTGTCACCCGGCTCAGCAGCAGGCTCAGCTCCCTCTTGCACCGTGCTGCCCTCAGGTCCATTTAACCTCCCACTTTTTTCCTTTTCCTTTGCTTTCCCTGGCCCGACCATCTTCTCCTCCCGGCACCCGCTCTTCTCCCTGCCCACCCAGGGTGATATCCCGCTTCTGAGCCCACTCACCCCACGGTGCCCAGTGCTGCTGGGGGGGCTGCAACCCCACAGTAGTACGGGGGTAGCCAGGCTCTGGGCACGGCTCCCAGCGGGGCCGCAGCACTAATTACAGCAACCGGTGATGAGGTTGTGGGAAACGGGGCGAGCAGGAGGAAAACCTGAAGGCTGGGAAAACCTGAAGGCTGGGAAAACCCTGCTTCCTCCCAGCCCACCCCAAAGCAAAGGCAGCCCCGGCTCTGCCATGGCCCCGGGATGTCGAGCGGGCGAGGGACAGGGACGTGGGGACAGCGCGTGGCATTGCTCCAGGGGGACTTCCAGGCATTTTGCTTCTGCAGCTGGTGCTAGACCTTGGCCAGAGCAGACCCGCAAGCGGCTGAGCCAAAACACCCCGGAGAGGCGGCGGGATGGAGCGGCATCCCCCAGCAAGGAGCATCCCCTCCCCATGTCCATGGGGTGCCCTCAGCACCCGGCCAGATGCAGGATCGGCTCGCTGCTCATCCCGGGTGCTGTGGCACCCACCTTGGCTGTGTGGGCTGCGCCAAGGGAGCCAGGGAAGAGAAGGGAGGCATGGGGCCGCGAAGGGTCCCCCCCCGGCTCACTGCACCAAAAGGCAACGCCAGTGCGCTCCGGATCGGCACCAAAGGGTGATGCCATCACACTCTGGATTTGCGGGGCCGGTTTCCCAGCCCCGTGCACCTCTAAACACACCCATAGCCCCCCAGCCCACCATGCTGGCGGGGGGGCCGCATGCCATGGGGCTGTTTCCGTCTACGCCGGGGCCGGCGGATAAGGAAGTGCTGGCGGGCGGTGGAAGCCTATGAGTGCCGGAGAGAAGGCGAGGGCGCGCGCGTGAGGCCATGAAAAGAGGAAGGATGACAAAAAAGGGGACGTTTCCCCAGCGGAGAGAAGAAACGCCCCAAAAGTTGCCCTCGCCCCAACCCCGGGAGCTCCGGGAGCCCCCCGGGAGCTTTTGCCATCATCGCCTGGTGCCTGCAGCACCCGGGCTGGGAGTCCCCATGTGCTGGGTTTCCCCGGGACCGCGCCGGCTCACGCGGCCGTGACGTCCCCACCGAGCCTGGCACCGCCCCGTCCTCTCCCCAAACGGGAGAGGGGAGACCCCCCCACGCAACCGGACAAGACGAGTGCTCCCTAAAATGACTTTCGAAGGGAAACCTTCTCTTCCATCCACCTGGCTGCTCCTTGCGCCGGGGCGCTGGGGCAGCTCCATCCCACGCAGCCGCACGCGAAGCGCCCCGTGCCCGGCTTAACCCCAGCCAAAGCAGTCACCAAAACGGCCCTGTGCCAGCTGCAGTGGGAGCCGTGGCATCGAGGTGCCCACATGGGCAAAACCCAAGGCGACGCTAAATACTGGCCACGGGAATGACACCGCTCCATGCATCCCACTTTCCCCCAGTGCCCCGGCCGGGGACGATGCCCTGAGCGGCGTGGCATCCCCCTCCGGCCACCCCCGCCTCTGCAAAGCGGGGCACAAACCAGTGCCCACCCCCAGCGCAGCCTGCGCCGAACCCCTGGCGTGCCCACCCGACCCTGTGCCGTGGCTGCTGGGAGAACCCGGGGGGAGGACACGGGGGGAGCCGGTGGCGGTGTGTCCATACCTGCAGCCTGGCCATCGCGCTGCGGCGGCGGGTGCCAGCCAGGGTGACCCCGGCCGGCTCAGGGGGTGTGTGGCATCGCCGGGACCGCCGGGTCTGAGGGCAGGGAGATGGGAGAGAAAAGAAGAGAGAAAGAGAAAAGAAAAGCGGCCGAACACATCCTCTCACAGGAAAGGGAGTGGTAAGGGAAGTGGCAAACTCAACCGAAGAGTTCAGACCTTTTTTGGGAAAGCCCCGGCAGGGCCCGGCTGCTCTCCTCGCCGCTCCACCGCAGGGCCGGCCGCCCCGACGGGGCAGGAGCGGGACAGAGCGAGTCCCGCTGGTGGCTGAGCCGGATCGTCCTCCCGATTCCCACCCCTTGGCCGGATCCGGCGGCTGCCGCAGGCATGAGGGCAGCTGAGCCGGGGCTCCCCGAACAGGACTGGCACTGACTCCCCCATGCCGGCTGCAGCCAGGCATCTCGGAGATAGCCCGGGCACGCCGGCACTGGAACAACCCCACGGCCAAGGAATGGGCTTTGCTGAGGAGTGACGGCCAGGATATGTCCCCAGGGTGGGCACAGGCCAGTTCCCGGTACCCAGCTGAAGCCACTTGGAAGCGAGGGTGCTTTCCGCCACGCCGTGCCCCGGGCATCCCCGGGGCTCCGGTGCTGCCCGTGGGGTGAGGATGCTGGCTCGGCAGTGAGGTGGGCAACGAGGGAAGGGGGCCGGTGGCCGAGGGTGGGCTGAGTCAGAGCCTCCTGCGGTGCCTCCCGGCAGCATCGTCCCTGCCACGCGGGGATGTGCCAGTCCGCCTGCTGCGCAGAGCAAAGCCCGGCTCCCTCGGCCAAGAGTGACTCACAAACAAAGTTGGTCGTTTTTTTTTTCCTCTTCAGAAAAAAAAAAAAAAGGAGAGAGAGAGAAATCAGACGCCCAACCTCTGTTTCCTTGATTAAACGTGCCCTCGGCACCGCTGCGGGCAGAGGGGGGCTCCGGCCCTGGCACCACACCAGCGACCGAAACTGGTTTGTGGTCTCTGCCAGCGGCTGCCCCTCGCTCGCACGGGCTCGCCGCAGGTGGAAAAGGGGAGAAAAGGGGAAAAAGAGGGAGGGGGGGATGCTGACAACCCCCTGAGTGCTCCCGTGGGGCTGCGGGGCTGGGCCAGGCGCCCGGTTGTGGCACGTGCCCGTTATCAGCCCGGTCCAGCATCTCACTTGGCGCAGCCGCTTCCCTCGCCTTCCCGGGGGATGCCGAGCTGTTATCTCCTCTCTTTCCAACAGCGCGTACCCCGGCACCCAAAAACCAACGCAGTCACACCGCCGCCGTCCTCAACTCCACCCCGTCTGGATGGAAACCCCCCCCATTACCCAAAAGTCACCCTCCGCTTCGGCAGCTACTTTTTCTGCCAACACCCACCCCACCATCGCTGCTGTCCTCACGGGTGCTCAGCGGGGCTCTGTTTCTCTGGTCACCTGAACCTCATTTATTTTCCAGATGGTTTTCCAGGATTCCCTTTGCCGCTGCCGGGCAGGGCCAGCTCCGAGAGCTGGAGGCTGCCAGGATGCGGCCACGCTCCTGTGGAGGACCCCCTGGCACCCCCAGCTCGCCGGCCGTGGGGCACCCACTGACACAGAGGATATTTTTATTCTCTGGCCACCTCCAGTCACGGTATGAGCTCTCCACCCCAGGAGGGACCTTCCCTTCGTATTTTATGGGTCAAAACCTGGAGGGCAGCTTTGCTGCTCATCACAGACCTCCGTGGGGATTGCTCGGCCAAGGGCGATGCACAAATCCCCCCCCCCGGTGCCGGCGAAGACACCATCCCCAGCCAAGCTGCCGGCACGGCTGAGCCCCCTGCTACACACCAGCGATGCCTTGGTGGGGAGCAGCGCGGGATCCGGCCCCTCTCCGTGCCTCGGAGGAGCTGGAAAACACCCGTTGCCTGCGAGACCGGCCACGCTGGATCAGTACGAGCAGATCTCGGCCGCCCCGGCTGCCTGCTGCTGGATTCTCTAGTGTCTAATAAGGGTTCAGCCCAGCCTGCAGCTTCCCCTTCTCCTCCCTGCCTTTCTCCCGGGAGGGACCCAGCACCTCCGACCTCTGCCAAATTTGGCTGAAACCAGCCACCGAGCACAAACAGACGTGAGCCAGCCCCGTGGGCGGCCCGGGGAGGTGATGGGGGGGGCTGGCACCCCGCGGGCCCCCCTCTGCCAGGGTTACCCCTTGGGCAGGCACCGTCACCGAGCCCCACAGCTGCCAGCCGCCCCCGCAGCCTGCCCCAGCCACCTGCCAGTGGCACAGGAAGTTTTGGGAGCTATTTTTAGACCCAGCTTTCCCCCCCCTCTCCACCCCGCTTTAGCAATCTATTAAAAAAAAGACTAAAGAGGTGAGGCTCAAGCCTCCTGACTCTGCGGGGACGGGGTTGGGCTAACCCCGATACTACCGGCATCAAGGTGCCAGCAGTCCCAGGCACTAGCTGGGTCGGGATCCCCGGGTCGTGCCGGGACGAGGGGGTGGCAATGCTCACGTGGCCGCGTCCCCGCCGAGCGCGTGTTGCTGATAACGCCGGCAGATGTGCCCGCGCACGTGGCGGAGGCGGCGGTGAGCAGATGCCTTTGGGGGAGTTCCTTTGCCCGGCTGTGATTTTTCTGCCATCCCTCGAGACTGGAAAAGCAGGTCCTGGCGATGGGAACCGGGAGATGCCGCAGCGTGTCCCAACACCTCCCCGGTCCTTCAGACCACGAGGGCCGACAGCCCCATGGGCACCTCTCCTGCCAGTATGAGGATGATGCCGGGGTCCTTCTCCGGACCGGCTATATCCTCTGCTCCCTGCACCTCTCCTCGACTGTAGCCGGGGTCTATTTCTGCACCGAGCATCCTCCGAGCCAAATCCCACTGAGAGCCTTCCCGAAAGGACCACATGAACCTCTCCAGCACCTGCTGGAAAGAGGCGAGCGGACCCGAGGCTCTGTCCCGGCATGGCCACTGCGGGCTGCCGGGTGGCACGGTGGGCGCAGCATTGCCGGCACCCGCCCCTCCGGCCCCGGCTCTTGCACTGAAATGCAGTTAATAGTTTCATAGCGTAAAAATAGCACCCACGACAATCAGCTGGAGGATTTAATAAGGCAAGCCCTGACAATTATGTTTCTATTAGTAGAGGTATCGCGGCGTTTTTAAGGCGTTTGGTAATGATCCATGGGAAAGGACAAGAAAGATCACAGTAATCAATACTCAGCAGGAGCTACACCACACGGATGGAGCCCAGCAGCTGATGGAAGGGAAGAGGAAAAGAAAAGGAGGGATAAGACATCAGCATGGCCGGGGTAAGAGCTGAGCCAGGTGGGCGGCAGGGTGCTCCTTGTCCACGGGGTGCTTCCAGCCCAGGACCTGCTTGTCCCCATCCCAGCACACGCCAGTGCAGGCAGCACCGTGTCCCCCGGGGACCACGGGGCAGAGGAGGGGGCATTAGTGGCAATTTGGGGGATAGGGATGCTAGGAGGATGCGAGGAATTGCCCTTTCCGAGGAAATGAGGAACCAGACAGAGAATCAAGCCAGGATTGGGATGAAAAGGGGGAACCTTGCATCATGGGGAAACGCTGGATCAAAGGGGTCGCTTACCGTGGCTCCGAGCGCTCCCTGACGTGGCTGATGGGCGATTTTTCTCCCCAGCCCCGGCACAAGACCAAACCCCGCCGGCTGCATCCGGAGACCCGCGCCAGCACGGGAACGGCCGGCCAGGCACAGGGAGGAGATTTGGGAGCCTGCGCCGGCACGGGCGGGAGGTGGGTCTGGCTGCGCCGAGGACAGGTCTGGCCCTGCTCTCCAGCCACGCTCCCTGCCCAAAACGTGGCCCCGCGTGGCATTGATGTGGTCAGGGCAGGGCTGAGCCCGGCAGCCGGCTCAACCAGCGGTGGGACCGGCCAGGCTGGGGTTACACCAGCACGATGGCTGGGGACAAGGGGGACCACCCCCAAACGCTGTACCCTGGGGATATTTGCCCGCAGCTTTTTATTCACCCGGACAGCTGTGGGCCCCGCTGCCTGCACGCTGCCAGTCCTGACGGATGTTTTTTGAGGTCTGGCTTCAGGCACATGTCACATCTCGCTGGTGAGCACCCAGGGCTGTGATGTCCCCCAGGCTCCAGACCCAGTGCCACCACGGGTCCCTGGACCAGAGCTTGCAGAGGCGAGCTGTTGCTTGTACCAGTAAGAAAACTTCCTCCCGCATCAGACTTTGGTCCTATGTTAAAACAGCGACGCACTGCAGAAGGAGTTCCCCAGGAGATTGTCCTGCAGGCAAATACCCAGGGCAAGGGGGATTTGGTGACCCAACACCTTTTCCCAGCTCCGGAGCATCCCAAGGGACATAGGTGATCCCTGTGCTGTGGTCACCGCAGCCTCACAGGCGCCGGGGCAGCAGTGATGCTCTGCCCTGCTCCAGCTGTGACAAGCAACGGAGAGCTCTGCGAGCAACTCGTGTCTTCCGAGACCAGCCGTGCCGGTTATTTAAAACCCGACCAAAGGGGAAGAAAGACGGTGGGGTTTGGCTCAGCCATCCCTGGGGAGGAGCTGGCAGCAGGGGGGAGGAAGGAAACGCTGTCACCCTGCGTGGCCCCTGTGCCACAGAGGTGGCCACCAGCCCTGGGACAGTGCCAGCCAGCCACAGCCGCTGCATCCCGCTCCATCCCGCTCCGGCCGGGCACGCTGCTGCCCGGACAGGGCTGTGGGAGATGGCTGGGGCGGCAGGAGCCTGGCCATGGGTGGATGCCCATCACAGGCATTCTGGACTTAGATTGTGGTCGTGGACCTCACTGGGGATCTCAGCGAGAACCCCGATGTGACAGGCCGCGGTGATGCCCTTTGCCGAGCCCCCAGGATGCTGCAGGGCTCGGCTGCACCATCGGAGGACACAGGAGCTCGCCTGCCACCACTGTCACGGCAATATGTTTCCCTGGCTCTAAATCCCCTTCACGAGCTCTCTCCTCGCGGTGAAACCCACACCAGGCTTGCAGGCAGCATCTTTCCTTGTTTTTTCTTGTTTTCCAAGGCTAGCTTGAAGCTCTCCCTTCCTTTTCCGGGGTTCCTGCCCGCTAATGCCAATATGT